GTGTGTGTGTGTGTGTGTGTGTGTGTGTGTGTGTGTTAGCGCTTATTTGTCTGTCTGTTGAAATAGATGTCACATGAACCACAGGGCAGAAGTTAATTGAAATAATTATTATAGGTTGTACATTTATAACATAAAAACTTTTGGAGCTAACCCAATTCAAAATGGCCACCACAGCTAACCAAACGTTGCAAACACCAAAAGGCAATAAATCAAATAATTACAATTTACTGATAATGCGCTAAACATGTTGTCTCTGAGAGTCATCCAAGTTCAAGGTTTTTAAATTTTGAATAAAATCTAAAACTCTRTGGAGAGCTGCTCAGAATACTGACAAGGATGAAAATGTCCACAAAATTAATCAGAACTAAACAGCCCTTAAAAGACACACCTAAATGTCAGACACATGCTGGAGAAAATGCCCACTTAGAGACTTCAGGTTCTTAAAAGTGACACACAAATGTGGCGCACAGTTTTCTCCTCCTGTGAAAAGTGGAAGAAAATGCACTCTGTATGAGCTCAACTCAAAAATGCGTAAAGTTTGTAACTTTTCAAGTGGCAGTAGACAGCATTATTCACAGCAGAATTGCATAAAGATGATGCTATTTGAAGTACAGTACACTATTAGTAGTAGTTTGTTGCATCACGTTGTTCCTTTAGTTTCTTGCTGCGGTTTGCATCAGTTTGTTTACACTCGTGTCTGTGCATGGGTGTGAGTTAACGAAATAAATTGGAAAGTCAGAGCTTTAAATTAGGCTAACATCGAGACACAAACAGGTTAAATGCTAATTTTAAACAATGCATCAGATTTGCTTGTTATTTCTTTGGATCTTACAGAGGAATGTAGCTTCTTCTGCACTAGAGAAACTCTGCAGGAGACCAGAATCCGTCACAGAGGATGTCCTGCTCCGGCTCCATGATGAATGGTTGTTTCCAGTTTTATCTCACTGTGGAGAAATAAGGTGGAAGAAGAAAGAAAAGATATTTCCCCAGACCATCTAATTCCAATGCAGTTGTTGCCATCACAGTCTGCTACATGATAGGATCAATATGATTGACAAAGTGCCCTCCCCCCACACCCCCCAAAAAACCCCTGCGTCTCCGTTTAGCTACTGATTAATTACCTCTATCTCTGAGTGCGTGTTCACCGAATATCCCCGAGGACTGTCTTTATTTTATTTTTTTATTATTATCGATGTGGTGCTGAGATTTTTTTAAGAGACAGAGAGGGAGTCATCGGAGCAATGATTAAAAGCCAGCRTGAAGAAAAGGAGCACGTGGGAACTTTAAAGAGTCCAAACAACAAGGAGTTGTGTCYCTCAGCAGCCCAGAATGGGCCCACTCATTCCTTAAAGTCATTTACAAAACAGATGGCTTTGAGTTTGGCCATTTCACCGAGACGCAACGGCTCCCCTCTTTCTAGTTTCCATCTGTTTGTTTTGGTTGTTGTTTTTCTTTTTTCTTCCTTTCTTTACGCTGCGGGCGGATGCAGTAATAAAGCAGCAAATGACGACCCGTTTTCCCTCAGGTTCAAACAAGTCCTCTCTGCCCTCGTTCCCTGTCTTCCTGAGCGTTGGCCTCACACTGCGCAGGACCTTTCATCTTGTTCAAAGCTGTTAGAGGAATAGTGTTGTATGACTGTGGAGAGCTCGAGTGAAGCCTTAAAATAAACTTATAGGATGAGGCTCGCACGTGGTGAACATATTCTGTGGCCACGAGACGGTATATGTCTATAAAATTCAGTGTGTAGTTGTCTATTGCAGCTGTCAGAGCACCACATTGAAAAAAAAACAAAAAAATCTTTCTTACCCCCTCCTCTCTCTCTCTCTCTCTCTTTCTCTCTCTCTCTCTCTTTCTCTCTCTCTCTCTCTCTCTCTCTCTCCTCCCACGCAGGTGTCTGACAGGTGTGACTATGTTTTTGTGAATGGCAAGGAGATGAAGGGCAAGGTGAAGATGATGGTGAATTTCACTTACGGGTACCTCGACGCTCAGCTGGAGCTCAGCGTGTGGATCCCTCGTCTCCCCCTTCAGATTGAGGTGTCAGACACGGAGCTGAGCCAAATCAGAGGGTGGAGGGTACCCATCGCCTCCGCGGGACAGAGGTAACATCAGCTGCCGCTCACACAGCTTTGTGCATGTGCTTTTAAAAACAAAATGTTTTTAGACTCTTTTTTTACTTTGTAGCTTCTTCAATATTTGTCTGAATTTGCTGTAATTATATATATATATATACAGTATATATATGTACACGTATGTGTATTTATTTAATGCTGTGCATTTACTTAGATAATTTCATAATAATGATGACAGAAATACTTTGATTTGGTCCACATTTTATGAATGAAATTACATTTTAATCCCTCGCCATCAAAGGGAGTTATGTTTACACCCTCATGTGCTTTTGTTTGTCTGTAATGTTAGCAAAATACCACATGAGCCAGTAAACATTTTTTAAWTAAACTCTGAAAGTAATCACTGGATGTTCATCTATAACTAATTAAAGAGATAGTTTGGTCCTTTCTGAAGTGATTCTCTGACAAATAGTTGACGATAGTTAGAACATCAGCCACAGAGCATGTTGTGTGGATAAAAGGGCAAAAGTCTTGGTACAGGTTAGGCCAGSGGTGCCTAAACAAAATAAAAATCTAACTGGATGCTGCTGGCTAAATGTCATAGCATAATATAGTACATGAAATACATACATTACATACAGTAYATTTCAATACATGAAATACAAATGCTTTTTTTAAGTAAGGTCCTTTTATCTACTTATGATTTGTTTTATGATAAAGCAGCCAGTGCAGTGGATCAAGTGGGTTTTTTTTTTTTTTGGTTTTTTTTTGTTTAGCCTGCCCACTTGAATAAAGTTTGACATACGCTTGGGCAGCAAAGGCTCATCGGACATTTCATAAACTGCTCAAAGATAAGGTTCTGCAGTCTTATAAAATGTAAAAATATACATGTGTGCTTAAATTTAATCTAAACATCTCTTGTGGTTACTTGTATTTCATGTTTAATCTTAATATAATTTAAAAATGAGGAAACTACATGAGTGAAGGACATCCTCTTATAGTCTTTGAGCCAACACATGGATCGACTGTAGGTGAAAATGCAGTGTTTCAACATGGGATGAAAGAAGCCTACAACCTAGTAGATCAACTGCTGGTGGGCCAAATCAAATGACTTGGTGGACCAAATTAGACCTGTAAGCACCACTTTGTGCACCTCTGGGCTAGGTTAATATCTAGTCAATCAAGTGTCTGTTTTTTTTATTAGTTTTCAGGCTTTTAAGACAAAAAAGACATACTGGTATAAATAAAATACTAAATCAGCAAATAATAAATATCCACTCCTTTGCAAGACCCTTTTTTATTGTTTCTGTTTGCTCAACCAGACAACATTGTGTTACAATGGACTATGTAAATGTGTGTGTGCTGAGCATACTACATAGACTGCCAGTACAAGCTGCTGCATGTATTGGTCCACCTGATCAGTGTGTCTAGCCAGTCCCAGAGCTGACTTTACTCCTGGCAGGCAGACACATTTGTAGGCTCAGTACCAACAACACACAACACAGTCTGTGCAACCCACACATACAAACAATGACAAACAAAACAAAGGTTGTCCTGCAGAAGTGTAGACATTTATTATTAAGTAATGTAGGAATCTTTCATACCAGTTTTTTTTTTTTTTTTTTTTTTTTGTGTGTGGGGGGGGGGKGGTTCATTTCCTTTCAAGTTGGCAACCTCAGCTAATCAAATTCAGGAAACACAAAAGTACTTCTAACTCAGTCAGCTTCACAGATATGGGCATACCTTCTGTTAGCAAAATACRTCATGAATCATTGGACAAAGTTTATTCCAGTGGTTCAGAAATACGGTTTTAACACAGCTGTATTGTTATTTAATGTGACAAATAGTCTATTTTGTAGATGATGGATGATTTTGGTCATAAAAAAATTTAATAATCATGCCTGCGTGGCTGAACACCTTTGCACTTGTCTCTTCCTGCCTCAGTCTCCATGGCAGTTCTTGGTTGATGACAAAATGGCTGACCTGTGCAATCCAGCTTGTCATTATCACTAGCTCAAGGTGGCCTGCCATTGCACCTGTTAGTTGTCAGTGGGACAGCACATTATTAGAGCTGTCTGGAGGTCAGAGCTCTCTCCTGAGGCCTCATCACTAGAAGCACATCTGCCAACACTGCTATCGCAGTGCCACTCTGTAACGGTAGAAATCCATCAACTGATGGAGCAGCTATCAGCCTACCTGCAGTAATTACATCTGGAAAGCGTTGAAGTTGGACTTGGAGTCATCCCACGCACCAGTGTGTCTCCTCTAATTACCCAGGCTCCCCTCTTATTTTGAGTGACAGAAGTGCAGCATTCAACTAATGTCATGGCTTGTYGGGTGTGTTGCTTTTCCAGCTGTGTGCTGGTATGCATGCCTTTATCAGGGAGGACAGTCGAGCTGGCTTGTCATTGTTTCTTTTTTTTTGTGCCAGCACCACTGCTGATGGCTTCAGAGAGCTTTGTTGCTCCTTGTTTTCCAACTGTCTTTGTTTATCAGGGGATAACAGGCATGACCTTGYATTGTAGCACAACGCCTGCTGGAGAGAACGAGCATCAGTCCGCTGTCCATAAGCCCACAAGGAACTAAGCCAATGAGTGACAATAACAAGTGGCTTAGCCTTCCTCCATCAGTCAGCCTGGGAAGTTGTGGCCATGCAGGGGCGAAAAAGAGAAATGAAAAATAAAGAGACATCAGGCCTGTTATAGCTGCAAAAGTAGTCCTCAGTCAGTTTTTGACTGACAGTGCCTGTACGGCTCACCTCTTCCCTTCCTAAGCCCTGTCAAAACAGGAACAAGATAAGCCTTCACAGACAGAAAACTTAAGTGTAGGCGTAACACCTGGGTCTGCATGACTTCTTAAACACTTCACTCCACACATCTGTTTTAAGAATTACTTTCCCACCATGTTTGGTGTTTAAAAAAATCTCCTTCCAGTTGTCTTTTAGTTCTACTTTTGTATGTTTGGCCTAATTGGTTTCACCGGGTGTACAGTTTTTTGCTAAACGCGTTAGTCTTATTTTCAAGATCCAACAATAAAACACACAATTAGCCCCTTATATTGCTCTGTTTGAGTATACAGAAACAACACAGCCTATTCTGTCCAGATGACCTCTGTCAGCGTAGCAGAAAATGAAATGCAGGAAAAAAAATGTCAAAACAAAAGCAGCGCAGACTTCACAGGGCCCAACAAAAACAAGCAAGACATTAATATGCAGCATCTCCTCTGAAGCCAAAAGTGGACTGGAAAGTGAATGAAGTGGAAAAAGATATTGGTTTGTGGAGCAGGTTGTTCTCAGCGCAGAGTGTGATTTGTTTAATAGATTAACCTAAGATTAGATTTTGAGATGGGCTGCAGAAGCTTTGGCTCAGATAAATGGTAAGGCTGAAACTGTTCAATATTATTTACTCCTTAATCTGACCTTATATATTTATCATCTGTCTCTTTAATGTCAGTACAGTTTGYCATTGATGTGCTCATAAAGATTAGATTTGGAACATTTCTGGTTGCATCTCTTTCTACTTTCAGTCTCTAGCACCTGAAATGATCAAATGAAATATTTAGCCTATTTTTCTCTTTATAAAACTGGAACAGGGTTTATGAAAGGAAGCYAGAAGTAGCAAAGAATTATTTTCATTTAATCATAAACAAAAGAATGACAAACTGTTTCTTTGTTTTTCTGATGAAAAAGAAAACGTTTTTATGCAGTTTGTGAATTTAACAGCTGGTGTTTGTGAACAAAGGTATTTAAGAGATCAAACTTTGAGCAAAAAGAAAAGAAAAAGACAAACTAAATTGGCCCCTAATGAGTTAAATTCCCACATACTCTCTGGAAATCTGTATAATGCTTTAAAGCAATAAACAAAACAATAAATAAATGCATAACTCAAATTATTTAAAAAAATCTAACAATAATAAGAAACAAGTTCAATAATAGTTCATCTTAAGC